TTCTGAAAGAAGTATGAGGGTCTTGTATGACTTTGTACTTCTCCCATAGTTCATGTCTGTCAAACTTACCTGCCATGGACTCTTTCATAAGTTCCATGAAATCGTCTTCGGACAATCCGGGGAAAAGTATTATGTCAGTAAGTATTCTTTTAACATCCTTACTTAAACTCTTTGCTGTCTGTACACAAATGACAACTGAGATGTTAAAGTGTCTGAGCTTCTTAAGAATTCGACACATATCTTGTTCTCTGTTCTTTAACAAAGGATGAGAGGCGAAATCATCTAAGATAAGAAGACATCTATGAGGGTAAGTCTTCCAATCGTAAGATTGCAATTTCTTCGAAATGTATTCTATTTCTTTCTGTTTGTTTCTGAAGTGTTTCTTCTCTAATATTCTCTGCATTTCCTCATTAGGGTCTTTAAACTTCGAATTTATATACTCATTTATAGCATTATACTTCAAAATCTTCTTTGGTACTTCTTTATCCAATCTAACAACTCAGTATCCTTTATACATACTAACTTAGACTTCTTTATAATATCTTTGAACGAATTGACGGTTTGGTCAAATTGACCAGAAGTACTACAAATGACTACTAACTCATAGAATGGGTTCTTCTCATCTAGTTCTTGTTGTTGTGCAGCCATTTTAAGATAAGTGAAAGTCTTACCAGACCCAGGTGGTGCAATTAGACCTGTTATACCATTCTGAGCAAATAAGAACTTGTCATGTATAGGCTTTATCTGAGCATTTTCTAACTTCCTCTTGTTCTTATTTAAAACATTCTCAAATTTCTTGTCAATGTCAGCAAACTTTTTTTCTAACATATTTTTAGAAAAATTAAAATTTTTATCTTTTAGAAAATGTCTAGCGATTTCGCTATCTATATTCGAGACAAGCTTTTCGACAGCAAAACATCTGTCGACCATAAAATCTTACATAGTGTAAACAAGAAAGGTGAATTTGTTCTAAAGTTCTGTTTCTGGAATATGACAAGAACCATAAAACATTAAGCAGAGCAGTCTTAAAATTTGTCAATGACAGACTTGTTGACAGAGATGACGCCGATTGGAAAGATGAAGTCCAACAAAAGTTCTTAGAATGCAAAGAAGACACATGCGCTGTTCTTGAAGATGAAATAGAAAACAGAATAGATGAGCTATTAAAGGACAAAGAACTTTTACATAAATATGGTTGCGCCAAATTTGACATAACTCCACCAGAAAAGAAGAAGAGAGAAAAGAAAGTAGAAGAAGAGAAGAAAGAACCAGAGCCAATTCCACCGAAGAAGAAACTTGACATGTAAAAATAAAATTTTATTTTTAGAACATTTCTGGGTCAATGTCAATGTTCTCTTCCTCTTTAGGAGCAAACACCGGCTTAGACTCTAAAATCTTTTTACCCAATTTACCTTGAACTTCTACAACTTTAGACTCATAATATTCATAGTCGTCTGTCTTCTTTGGTTCATAAGGTATAACAAGTTTGTATGCTTTGCCTTCTTTAAGGTTTGAGAACCTTCTGTCAAAACTTTCTTTGACTGTTAACAAACCTTCTATGTCTAAGTCTTCAAATTTCGCACCATTTTAGTCACAATAGCAAACTTAACTGGTTCGATGTTCCAAACTTTGCTGAATGAAGACTTTTCAAAATGGTAGAAGTAAACATTCAAATATGTGAATGGGTCTAGTTCTTCTTTAAGTCCTGACATGTACTTGTTTACCGAGATGAATTTCGTCATCTTTTCTATCGGATAAAAAAATATTTTTTTAAAAATTTACTCAGAAAAATTTTTCTTTGTATATACACCATTCTGTACGTCTAAAAGACTTTTGACATTTGCCAAGAATGTACGTTTAGACGCTGCCATATAACCATATTCTTGACAATATTGTTTATACGAATCGTACAATGACCTTTCATCTAATGACACAAAGTCAGTTTCATCTATGAACAGTTCATATACACTCTTGTTTGCTTCTAACAATGTTTGTCTCTCTTCGGTATGTGGAATTTGTCTTGGATTGAACTTAGAAATATCTAAATGTCATGAAATATGAGAACAAGTGGTTGTAAAAAGTCAGATGTCAAAGTTTCTGCTAAGTCGTCAAAATATTTATCTTGCATATGAGAATCTGACGTTCTGACAACTACATATCTTCTGTCAGAACTTTCTAACTTCATCGGAACAGCATTGTTTGAAACCATAATGAAGTTTGCAACATTTTCACAAACTCTTTGGTCTTTATACTTTCTTTCAACAACTCCAACTTTGTCTGTTATAAGACTCTTCAAAGCATCTGAGTTCAAAACTTTTTGTTGTATCTATACTTTGAAGTTCATTGCAAACTATAAGTTCATATTTCAATAGAAGAGTTAAATTTACCGCAGATGTTTTCTAAGTTTGTCATATTCGGATTCGAATAACCTTCTAACAGTTTGCACAAGATATCTGTAAAGAATGTGTTCTTACCTGTTCCTTGTTTTCCAATTATAATGAGAGCAGTTTCATTTTTAGCACTTGGATGTTGTAAGATGTTTGCAAACCAACATAAGATATACTCATAAACCTTTTCGTTTCCATTGCATATAATTTCTTTGACATGGTCTAACCAAGCTTCTATAATATTTTCTTTCCATTCTACTTGTTCATATTTATATCCAGTGAAGATAGAATAGAAGTTTGGAGAAGGTGTATAAAACTTTATACCACGAACCGAAAAATCTTCAAGTTTTGACAATAAGATATCCCAAGCATCTAACATCTTCATGCCAACTTGTACGACTTTTATTTTCTTAAGTTTCTGTCTACATTCTTGTTCTGAAACTATTGTTGCTCTTGGTTTGTTAAAGACAACATCCCATTCTTTCATGACATAACATTCTGGGGCAGAGTCAACATAAATGACTAAACGTTTCAAATTCTCGACTGCTTTGTTATAGTCTCGAAATGGACACATATTCTGAATGCTTGGAAGTCATAAAAATCTGAAACATCTATTCTGTACATTTTTATAAAAATAAAAAAAATATTATTTTTTTTATTCTTGACTTTGTTGTTCCATTTGTTGCATTTGTTGTTCTTGAGCTATTTGTTGTTGAAGTTGTTCTTGTAATACAATACTTTCACCAGTTGCATCTTCCAATTCGAAACTTTCTGCCGTCATTGACAAATACATAGGACATAAAAGTTTTACAGGAACAAAGTTTGCGTCAACTAATGTCAACGTTATACTTGCCAAAGTGTTTGAGTTCACTAAGGTTGAAAATTCTGCATTCGAATGAACAATAGGCAAACCAGCAGAGAAAGTATTGTTTATACGCATAAGTATCTTTTGGTCATAATAGTTTCTGTCGACATTCGAATAACACTTTGAACCTAAGTTTGAAACAATATATAAGATTGGTGTGCTTAATGTCAATGGAATAGACATTCCTTGTATGACACCTTTTCCTGTTATAGGAAACTGTTGGTAGTAAAAACCAGAAATAAGTTTTGTATTATAGCTCATATCGTTTATAGTAAACTCAGTCGGACATCCAAACATAATGAAACCTGCTCTAGTTGCAGCACATGTTACACCTGTACTTAAAGTATTAAATAAGTCAACAAAACCTGTTGGTGGTATATCTGAGTAAGTATCTTCAAAGGAGTATTTTTTACCATTCACAACAATAAAGTCTTCTGGTGTCAAAAGAGCAAAACAGGCTTTAGTCGTCATTGTGTTTAAGGTTAGTTTACAATATCGTCCTTGAGGACTTTGTAAGTTTGTTGTTATAGAATTATATGACTCAGGGTTTTTAGTCGTAATAGTATAAACCATTATGTCTTCTGCCATTTATATATATTTAAAAGTTTTTCTGAAAGTGGAGAAGAACTTCATCTAAACTTTCACATGGCGTTTCTTGAAGTTCTCTGTCTAAGAAGTTCAAATATTTTGTAAAGACATAGAACTTTCCTTTGTCTACACGAACAAACAAAACAGGGTCTTTCATATCGTTCAAAAGTGTGTAAAGTCCTTTACATGAAATAAAGTCTATATTATTTTTCTTCAAACATCTTTCAAGAAGTTTTGACATTTTTACTTAGCAAATAAACTTTAATGAAATGTTGTGGTCGTCAAATATTTTTATAACGTCTGGGAAACTATACTTTAAGTTCAACGTTTCACCTCCTTTCATAACGTATATCTTGTCAATGACATTATATGAAACACCACAGCAACTAATGTCGGGTTCTATTTCTTTGATGCTTATATCGTCTGCCTCTGTCAAAAGTTTCAATAGTTCTTTCAAAACTTCATGAGGTGCAATGACATATGAGTTCACTTTTACAGGGTTGTGTTCGACCAAGTTTAACATTATACTTAAAGCTTGACAAATCTTCTCCTGAGTTTGAAGTTTGTCTTTCAGTTGTTGGTAGTCATTTCGAATATCTGCAACAGAACTTAAGTCTCTGCTAACTTCAGGATATGTTGGTTGTTCTTTTACAGGAACAATTGTTATACCATCTTCGTCTTCGTATGGTTTCCCCACTTCAACATCTCTGTCTTTGACATTGACAATAACACTTTGACTGTTTGTTTGAGTTGGTGAATTTAACTTCACATCTGCCACCGCCATTAAACCTTTTGAAACACTTACGCTTCTATTTTTCGGAAATGACATTTTACTTAGAATAAAAAGATGGACGTATTCGGATATCTTATTGAATTGAAGCAGAACAAAGTTTATACTCACAAACAATACAAATACATTGACAGAATAGTTCTTTACACAAACAATGGAAAATGTTATAGAATAGCAGTCTTTGCTGAACCTAAATATTTTCATAAAGCAAAGAAAGTTGGTATAACTGAAATGGTGAAAGTTCTTGAAGCAGACAAAAATATAACTTCAAAACTTACAGATATTACTAAAGGAAAGTTTATAATACAATATTATGTCAAAACTGGCGTACTGTCAATATTTGACGGAGAGAAGTCAGTTCAAGAACAACTTACTGACCTGCTGCCAAAATCTGCTCGATGGAAGCTGTCGTTATGCCAATCTGAGGAGCCCCAGCAGGTTTCATCGAACGAATCTTCAAAAGAGCATCTTCCGTGAAAAGTGCTATTGGTTTTGTAAACTTCTTTGCTCTCAATTCATCTGGACCGTCTCTGTCACCAGTATATTGTATTTGTACAGTACCAACAGTTGAAATACCACCCATAAAGTCTTCTGAGTCAGCAAATGGAATGCCAAGCCAAAAGTTTGAACGGTCTCCATTTGTATATTGAGTTTTTTGACCTCCTGTATGAGTCCATACTTTCACATATGGCATAATAGAATTTTGCATTTCAGGGTTAATGGTTGTTGTGAAGTTGTTGTTAAAGTTCATAGCATCTAATGTCAAGTTGTATGACCTCATATCCTCAACTGTAGAATATTCTTCTCTTGGATAATATTTGCCATCTATGTTTATATGATATTTAATACCAGGGTTGTAGAAACAAGAATAGTCATTTATAGTTCGTCTGAACAGTACAAACATAGTATCTGCATGTTTCATTGCAGTTGTTAAAGCAATATCTGTTCTTGCACCTGGGTCAGCACTTTGGTTTCCAACTTCACCTGCAAAGTCTTTGACAGATATTTGGTGTATAGGGAACATAAGTGGAACTGCAATATATTTGGCAGCTAAAGCATTTGAAATATCTGGGTCCAACATATAGACTGCAAGTCTGCTTTCTATTCTCTTGCATTCAAATTTTTCGCATGTGAACTTAACTGGGTCCCAAGCAGTTCCAGCAGCATTGAAATAATAGTTTACTTCATTGTTGAGGTTTGAGAAACCAAAGTCTAAGTCAACTTTGTCTTTGCAAAAGTCACAGAACTTGGCTCCACCAGTTCCAGCTACAGTAATGCTGAATGGGTCTTGTGTTGGTGCAATGACTAAGTTATTTTTGCTTGGAGTAAGTTCGATAGAAATTTTTCCTGCCCAGTTTGGCAAGTATCTTAAAAACCTGAAGATGAGGAAAGATGACAAAGGAACTCTAAGTTTGAGTTTTACTTTGGTTACTACTGCTGCAGTTTGTCCAGAAAGGTCAACATAAACTCCTGGAACGTTAGGGTCAAGTCTTCTTATTTTCTCAATAGTTGCATATTGGTCTGTTTGTTCTCTAGCTTGTGGTTGTACTGAGTTTCTCAAAGCGAACCATTCATAGTTTGCCCATGTTACTGTTTGAACTAAGTCAGAGTTAGAATATATCTTATATCCCATGAAAACTTCTGGAGCATATTGGTATCCGACATAGAAAATTCCATTGCAACCTTTCTTGTCAGACAACTTGGCAGAAGGTTTTATTTCAATGTCTTGTTCCACGTATAAGAATGAGTTGTCAATAGAAATAATATGAAACCTGTCGCAAGCAATATCTACTGTTGTTGAAGAACCTTCTCCAAACTCACCTACGTTTCCATAAGAAACAGCAGTTGTATATTCGTAAGTTCCAGGAACTATTTCTGACCTTCTAATGGCATTGTCGCATTCGTTATACCATTCGGAAACATTTCCGTTCATGGCATCCAAAACTGTTGGCGTTATATTCTGAGCGGCGTACATTTCATATGGGTAAAAATATAGAATAGTTGAATTTATGTGTCATAATAGAACCCACTCGTACCAAGCTTTACTTTCTTCCTGACTGAGTTTTTAACTCTTCTTTTTCCTTCATTGCCACTACTTTCACTAGATGAAGTTACTTCTTCACTACTTTCACTTTGTTCTACTCTTCTCTTCTTCTTTGGTGTCGCTTTTGGTAACTTGCCCTCTGCTTCAAGTTGTTGCATCTTTGCCTCATGTTCACCTAGTATGTTGTAAATTTCCCATGTCCTTTTTGCCTTTGGGCTCTGGTCGCCCATCTCAGGTAACCTATATCCTAGAAAGATTTTGTCATAGTTTGTATTTGAGTCTTCGCGTATTGTTTGCATGACTCTTTCCTGAGTTTCCGGTTCAAGCTCTTCAAACAGAGCTTGTCCATATGGAATAAGCTCGTTTCCAAATATATGTTTTTGTAGCCATTCTGGTTTTCTTTCCATGTTACCAATAATATCTTTTGTGAATGGGAAAGCTTTTACCCAATGTTTCAGTCTTGCGTCATTTATTTCTGTAGTTGGTTTTATTTTGTCAAGGAACATGTTTTTCAATACTAACATTTCATTTGGTACTGTCCATTTGAGTTTTCTTAAATATTCATCCCTTCTCGGTTCATTGTCTGCAAAGTAAGTTTTTATGACATTTTGCAAACTTTCGTTTGCAAGGTCATGTACAATAGGTTCTCTTCCTTCTCTCCCTAACTTTCTTTCTAAACTCTTCACCAAATATACCATCTCTATGGTTCTGTGTAGTTCTTTGAGATAAATGTTCTAGAACGTCAGGTGTTATATTTCCATCAGCCATGTTCATTTCATACTGGTCCAAAATATCTGCATCTTTCATATCTTTCAATGGCATTAAAGCCGCGCTGAAAATACCAGCTATATCTGGTTCACCATTCACTTCCATTGCGTCTACAACTTCTTGGAATTGAGGTTGTAAGTTTATGAACCACCTATCCGGATTAGCTTTATGACCCCATCTCATTGTAGTTCCATAGTCTGCAGAAACAAAAGTAGGTTTGTTTCCATATTGGCTAGGTTCTGAATGAACTTTAAACAATGTTTCATTTCTATATGTTTTGTTGAAATTTAACCTTTTATTTTCACCGAGTTCAGCCAAAGATTGAACGTTATATGGTCGTAAGTAAAAAGGATTATTGTATTTGCGTACATTTTCTTTCAGTACTTCCATTCTATGCTGAATATTTTCATCTGATGTTGGAGTCTTTTGTATGTCGGCGAACATTTTTCGATATTCTTCTACTCTGTCAGCCGAATTTTTCTTAGACTCTTGGAAAGATTCCATATTCTCCGCATACACTTGTTGAGGGTCAAGATTTTTCGGCTGTTCCAAATCTTCATCTAGTTCTGTGAAGTTAGTTTCCAAATGAGGGACTTGTTCGTTTCCTTCAGGCTCTTCTAGCTGTTGTTGCTGAACTATTTCTTCCATGTCTGGTTGTATCTGAACTTCTTCCTGTGGAGTTTCTTGTACCTCATCTGCTGGCATTTCATATATTCCGAGACCGTTTTTAAAAAGTTCCCTATCTAAGTCATCCGGACTCATAAACCTTTCTTCTTTCGTTCCGTCTCTATTTTTTACGCGTTTCATGACGAAAGTTGAATTATCATTTAGCTCTGACATCAAATATCTCGGAGTAAATTCATCCATGTCATTTGGATGATATGCTATTAAATCATATCCCTTAGCGAGCTTGTATTTTCCAGGTTTGAAATTATATCCCATTTGGTGCTGAACCATAAAGCTAAATAGGTTCGGGTCAGTATTTCCTTCCTTGAACTTTTTAATAGCTTCTTTATATCTGTCACTAAAGTCAAGAGTATCTGGGTAACCATAATCTTCCTTAAGCATTTTTAAGAATTCTTGGTTTCCTTGTTCTCTACTTCTTTTATGTCCTTGCTCTGTTTGTGGTTGTTGTTGTGCAGGGTTTTGAACTGTTGGTTGTTGTGTAGTGTTTTGAACTGTTGGTTGTGGTGCTGGATTTTGAACTGTTGGTTGTTGTTGTTGTTTTGGTGCATGCCTGTGTCTGTGTCCATGTGACGATGTAAATGTTTTAGGTAGTCCTGGTGCAGGTGCTTCTCTTGGAGGGTTTGGTGGTATATAAGTTCCACTAGCTAGTATATAAGTTCCACCAGCTGGTATATAAGTTCCACCAGCTGGCACATATGTTCCATCTGCAGCATAATGTCCTACCTGACTTTTCGTTCTTAAGAAAGCATTTACTAGGTCTGTTTTGGTCTGTTGTAACTCTTTTTCTTGACTTTCCACAACAGTTGCTCTAACGGCGTCATAGGCACTTTGAACTGCCTGTCTCGTTGCTGCATCTGTTATTTTCGTCATATTTTGTGCTACTTCGCTTAACTCTTTGTCGAAACCTTCAGACTTCAGTTTCTTTCCAGATGAGAAGTCGTTCACTAGTTTCACCTTACTATGAAGAGCTTCGAAGGCGTTCTTAAAGTCAGCATTCATTAAAGCTTCATTTGAACTGTCTTCATCCGCTTGTATTTTTGTCCTTATTGACCCTATAAGTTGGGCTGCTTTAGCGTTGGCTTGGGCATCTAACCAGTCATTATTAGCTTTTATAATATCTGCGCTTTTCATTGCCTTTTGCATGGCTGCGTCGTTATTTTTACTTTCTTGTGCTAAGTTTTCATACTGTACGGTTTGGTTTTGCAACTGTAAAAGTTTTTCTGCCTTTACATTTGCTTCAACTTCTTTTTTATACTCATCGCTATCCATATATGTCTTCATGGCTTTTTGTTTTATCTCTTCATCTTTCAGTACTTTATATTGAGTAGTATGGTTTTTCAAATTTATAACATCTTGTTCCATTTTTGCTACTTCTGCTGCTTTTTCTGACACTTTTTTCGCATATTCCTCTGTACTTAGTTCTTTCAGTTGTTCTTCTTTCTTCATTTTCTCTACGTTTAACTCATTTAGTTTCTTTGTGTGTCTGTCATATTCTAGTTTCTTTTCGTTTTCACTTATTTGTTTCTGTATGTCTATGTTTGACTTTTTGACATCTGTTATTTGATTTTTGAGTGAACTCAAATTCATTTGACTTTGAGGGTTATAAGCTGTTCCGTCTGCAGCTCCACCATAGCCTGCCATTTTCGCTAAAAGTGCCGCTCTTAAACCTCCACTCTGTGCACCAATAACTCGGTTTAAAAACATAGGGTTGCTTGACATTTGTTGCAACATAGTGGGGTCATTCATCATTTGTTGTTGCAACTGTTGTTGTGGTGTCAGTTTTACTATTGGATGTTTCAATGCTCCCTTCCTCTTACGTATATTCTTACGTAGCTTACGTGGCATTTTAAGTGAAGTTAAAAAGCGGTTTTTGACAGATGTTTATATGACACTTTTTGTTCAGCACAAAAAACTACTCGGTCAAAGTGTTGTCGGTTTTGTAAAATAACCGTCCTATCTCATTCTATAAGGGGGAAAAGGCTTCTCAAAGTATACTTCCTTGGAACGCCTGTAACTTTTCCTGTAGCGACGATAGACCCTTACTTGTCCGGACAAAGTTATACTATTTTGAGTGCTCTACAAAAAAGTCAACGGCTGGTCGGCTGGGGTTCGGTCCTCCTCTTGGGTCTTGGGCAAAATTTCTTAGGGCTAGAAGGGGCGCAGCCCCTGGAAGCCCCTCATACCTGACCTTAAGTACCTTAATATGTACGTAAAAATTAATGAAATTTATTTTGAATGTAGAACCGAGCAATTTTCAAATTTTGTGCTTTTTTTGAATTTTC